ACTTCCTTTGCCAGTTTCTAAGGAACTAAAATTTTCAGTCACAAAAGTTTGGTTTTTGTAGCTTCTAATATTTTCATTTGTTCTAAATAATTGGGCAAGGGAACTTTTCTTTTGGTTGTTTGTGTTATTTTGCATATTATACTTTAATTGTTGTTGGTTTACTTGAGCACATTAGCTTGCTGGTGAACTAACACTAGGTCTTGTTATATGTACAAGTTCTTACTCTGTGTTCACCAAGAATGATAATGTGATGACACATACTCTTTGTAAGTGCAAGATCCATCATTAGAACTTGGAAGACATGAAGAGTATTTATATGCAGACATTGATCCTGGAATCATAAAGAAACCTGCATTTGTTTTACCCAGAAACTCAAACAGTCATCAGAGGTTCAAACTACATAATATAATTTTTGATTAGTCCTTCAATCTGACATACTGTTGATTTCGCTGTTTGATTTCCAAACCCTTGTACAGTTTGGTCATGAATTCTAGCTTTCCTATTAGAGAAGTAGACTGAGAATTTACTTTTGTCTTGTCTGCTTAGGGATTTCCGTAGAAGTTCTACATGGTTCGATCAATTTATGTGTGTCCAGGATTAAACCAATGTAAATATTTTTGTGTATTTGTTTATGTGAACATATTTTGCTTAGTGGTTGCTCAGTCTTCTGTTTATTCAGAAAATGTGTTTGGGATTCAAAGGATGAAAAACGTTTGTCAAGGTAATATGAAGAATTGGTAAAGGGTGAGCATTCAAGGTAATATAATGTCTATGTCAATCCAATATCTCTCCCCTACTTCTATGTCACATTTGTAGAACTTGTACAGGACATTTGAGTGTTCAATTTCTTTCATAATGTTTGAACTTTGGATGTGGCACTGGATGTGCACAATGTTTATTAAGGTAAAATTAATTATTTGATGGATAAGGTCTTCTAATATTCAATTATTTGTGATATTTAGTATATATTGTGTTGTTTGTGTACTTCCCAAAAGACAAATAAATTTGCTGTTTGTTTGTGTAGACAATGAAATTGATTAGGTAATTGTCGCAGGAGCACTTTGTTGTTGTTTTGGTAGGTCGTCGCAGCTTTTATGGTGAATAAATATCTTGGAACAGCAGCTAAGAGACTCATTGTGGGCACCTCCCTTCAGTTGTTGCTATTAGCCATTGCTGAGCTCGCCACATTGGCTTAAACAGTTCTTGACCTTCTTTTCTCAGACTATTATAACTTTGTGTTGGAGACATTCCCAAAAGGGTTTCTGTTAACATCTAAAGGGAAGTACACGACACTGTTATAGTCTTCTTCCTATCCTTATTTTGAATGTCTTTAGTACCTATATCTCTCATTGTTCATTATCTTAGCATATGCTTTTTTTCTCAATACCTATGTTTCTATTTTCTTTTCTTGCATCACCTACCTTTTTTATTCTTTATCCACTTTGTCCGACCAACTTATACCTATTAAAATGTGTCATTATTGAAATATTATGAAGTTGTAATACACTCTAAAAATTTGATATTTTGGGTCGTGATGGTTTTGTACCCCAGCCAGTATTAGGAAGCTATGTTACTCGGACCTTCCATCAATGCCGTCGTTGCGTGTTGGATCATTCAAAATGCATAACTTTTGGAGGATCCGGCACACACCTAGGTATTTTTGAAGAGTCCAAGCAAATATAGCTAGGAAGCATGTACCAAACTATTATGGCATATGAAGATGAATTATGGGAAGTCCCATGTCATTGTGGGGGAAAGCGCCATGGTACCAGATCTGCGATAACAATGAGAACTTTTGTGTAATTATATCCTGTTTATCTTCATTTATGTTGTAACAAATAATATAGTGCATCTATCTTACACATGTTTTCCTTCTATCTTTCTAGTAGGAATCCTTGTGGCCTTATATATACTACATAATGGGATCTAAATAACATGTTTGAAGGGTGGTTTTTTCATTCAGCAAGGACCTGAGAATTCTGTTGTAAAAAAAAATATTTGTAGAAAATAAAGATAATGGTCACTAGAGATGTGGGAAAAGAACTAAATGGATTGAAGTGAGAGATTTATATGTTTGTGTAGACTTAGAAATAAGTTTAAGATTTGGACAAAACTCTGTAAGAGAAGTTCTAATTTCTCTTAAAAAGACAGATTCTCTACTATTGGAATAAATTGGCTGTCAATAAAGTGCAAAGGTTAAGAGGCTGCAGTGTCTCTTAGCTTTTTTGTATTTCTTGATTAATGGCTGAATGTGATGAAATCTAGCATTGAAGACATGCAAGTCCATGTCCTTTCTCATTCCCTCTTCATTATATTTTTCCCGATTCTTATGCCGGTGCATTAATATGAAGGATATAAAGTTAAAGTAGAGGTATTTTCCTCTTTAAGCTGAAAATCAGTCTTAGTAGCAGAATGGAGAAAAATATTTGGAGTATGATTGAGGTGGGCATAAAAGTTTTTTAGATTAATGGAAGTTTGAGTTTATGAAGATCCTAATCTTATTTTAGGCAGAAATAAGAATATTTGAAATAGGTGAAGCCAGGCTGACATCCTATTGAGAATGTTATCTTGTTCATTTGGATTTTTTGCTCCTTCAGTATTGTCTGTCAAAGTGGTTACATATGTTCATTGTTTGGTACATATAAGGAGAAAACAATGAGAAAATGATCATCAATGTATTGGGGCTGCTTTAGTTGACAGTTACAGTCTGTAATGTATGTGAAAAGGTGACGTATTTGGTCCAAAGCTCTAAAAGTAGCAGAATATTCAAAAAAAAGTGTTAAAGTTAACATTTTTGTCCATGAACTCACGTGCCCACACTTAAGTCGGTTTATGGTTGCGACAATGAGACATAGTCAAAGCACGAACGGACGGAGCAACAATGACAATGGCCTTTGAGACAAAGGCATCAAATTAGGTACTTCCTGTTTCCAGCCAACCGGATCCAAAGTGACACTTCAAACCTGAAAGTTTTCGATGTTGTTTTCATTAATATAGTCTTTGGGAAGGTAAGAGGGATGAGAAGATATAAATAGGAGATCCACGATAGGAATTTTCTGGTGATTTTGCTGCTGCTGATTTCTTGGCCAAAAAGCCCTTTTTGCTTTTCCAGTGATGAAGATTGTAGGTTTACCCAGATGATTTGGTGGTAGTTCTTGGATTTTGATGTGTTTTTCAGCATGGGGTCACTGGTGGTGGAAAGGGAGGTTTGTTTCAGATAGAAGATGGACGAGAAGGGGGGAGGGGAGGGGGAGTGTAGGGGTTGCCGGTTGATTATTGGCGTTTCTTTCGGGGAGGAAGTTACTGGTGATTAAGGTGGCCAGTGGGCGTGGTTGTTTTGGGTGATGGTGAAGTTGCTTACAGGTTGTTGCCAAGCACACATGAATTTTTTTTAGAATTGACGGCCACTTTTACAAATTCTATCATAGTGTTTCAAACTTGACTTGTTACCTTTCCATATACAGTAAGGCCTATATTTGTCAAGGAGGCTATGGTAGCTTAAGTCGTGTGGGCCTTTTAAGTGAGAAGTTAATTTGTCTTCGGCTTTGGTACGGCGCCTTCTTAGGTTAGTTTATGAAACAAGGAGGAGAACTCTTGTAGTGCAGGATTGGAAAGCTGAAGATAAAGAAGAGAAGGCTAAGCATAACAACTATGTAGATGATACCTTGTAGGTTAAATAGTACCACCTTCTGTTCCTTGCCTTGACTTGACAGTTGGTGCTGTCTATAACAGAGATTAAGAAAAAAAAAGTGTGAATGGGTCATCGTATTATGTTCTTGGAGTTGTATTAAAATAATTGGTATTGTGAAAGAAGTATAAAAATGCGATATTGCACTCAGAATCATGCAAATGATTTTTTTTTTCTTTTTTTGAGAAAGGTAAAGTTTTAAAATGGTCACCCTCACTTTTAACTAATTTTGTCCCCTACAAAAAAAGAAGAGAGTTTTGCATTATAATAAAGACCAAAAGATTGTTTAATGCAAGATTAGCAAGTTCTGGAATGTTTTTCAGAAGCATTCTTGTGGAGTTCAAATTAGAACATGACATCCTCTGGAATTGGGATATTCCTATTGTTGTGCAAACCCAGTTTCTATCTGCAATCTGTTACTTCAAATTTCTTGCAAGAATCTGGCATAAAAGAACTTACTTTTATGTATTAAATTTCATTGCAATGACTAGATGAATTGACTATATATATATCTATGGTTGAAGGTTCTAGAGCCGGGTCGGTGGATTCAGAGTTATGAATGATCAGATAGAGCAACCAGATGGGGGCTACTAAGCAGTCTAATTGGTTGGAAGGATAATATGAAAGAAAACATATTTGAAAAATGCTGTTTGCGTAATGCCACTTGAAAACCTTCACTTGATATCATTCCAATATAAAACTTTGATTAGAGTGCTACATTTATGTTTTCTTGGCATCTGTACAGATAATATTATTTCCATGGTTATACTTTGCTTCAACTGCCTTCTATTTGGTTACTTCTCTAATTTTTCTACCACTTCAGGGTTTTAAACTGTGTAATTACATTTTACTTGAATAATATTCCACAATTCATGCTTCCAAGTCCTCTCTTAGGATATCCTCTATGAGATGACATTTTTATTTCCACAATCTCAAATCTCTCCTCTTGCTTTGTGTTTTGTCATTATTTTCTAGAATCCAGATAGGGAAAGATGAGCAAGCTTGGGCTTCAGGTGACACTTCAAGGAAGACTTTAAGAACAGGTTAGATCTGACACATCAAGTTGTCTTTCACTGCAGGTTTGCTAGACTGTTTATAGTTGTGTGAAAGAGGGAGGTTCCTTCAGTGGCAACAATATCGTTACCAGTGACCACCACTTCTATTTCAAGCAGGAAAGCTAAGAGAAAATCTTCCATCTACTTTTGTTTCTAACTTTTTGCAACATCTGAACCAACCATAGATTCCTTGAAAACAGGTGCGGGGGGAGGGGAGGGTGGGGGTGGGGGGTTGCTTATTCTTCAAATACTTGAGGTTCTAGAAAACATATCAGAACCCTGTGAATATTCATCAAGTAACATAATTTGATTTAGTTAAATGCTTTGTGGAATGTGAATCAGTTTCTTGTTTGGTTTGAAACTTTGGCTGTAGCTGTTACTGTGAGAGTTGGTTCCATCAAATTAATTGGACTTCATCTTTTCCTCCTTTTGGTAACAGTGGTTGTTAAATATCTATACAGCTATCCATCCATCCATAATTTTTATAATGCCGATTGAAACCGGCCAATCGTCTTCTGCCCAAGAGTCTTGCAAAAATACATTTTCTACAAATACCACCCAATCATTTGTAAAAATAGAATCTCATGGGTGCACCCAAAAAAGGGGTCTATGCAGGTACATTAAGTTTTAGTTGTGTTCATAAATTATTGGTTTCTATGAAGGTACATTACGATGCTATGTCTGTGCCTATGGCTATTGCTTTACCTGGTTGCTTGCTTTTTGGCCAACCAGTTATCGTAAAACCTTCTGAAGCGGATAAAAACCTTGTTTAGTCAACCACATGTGGTGCTGGAGCAGGTTTGGGGACAAGTGCTGCCTCTGAGAGAACTTTATGTAAGAAATCTTCATTTTAACATGACAGAGTTACAACTCAGATAGGTTACAAAGCCTTAGAATATTGACTTATCATGTGCATTATATAATGGTGGAGGTTTATATACACAATATTCTGCGATGTTGATCTACCTTTACTTGTAGAATATAACATGCTGAACAACAAATTTAACGTGATAGAGAAAATAAAGTTTAGGCAAACACAAACATGGGCGTATCTATCAAATATTTCACCCAAATACACCCATGTATGTGTTTTCCTGAACTTTATTTCGTCTATAACACTGATCTGTTCTTTAACATGTATAATTGACTTTCTCAATGTCCTTGCTACAGTAATACCCATCTATACCAAACACTTTATTTTCTGTTTCTAAGGTGCCCGCTTGACTTTGCTTAAAAAAAGTAGCTTTTCAAAAATAGTTTTTTAGAGTCAAACTTCAGTAACTTTTAAGTCAAAAATGAAATGTAGGGATACCTGCTTTTAGCTTCTAACTTTTTCAAGTTTTAACTTTTAAGTCAAAAATGAAATGAGGCATACCTGCTTTTAACTTGTAACTTTTTTCAAGTTGTTTTTAAAATATCCAAACACTCTCGAGAGCTGAAAACACTCTTAAGCCAAAAACCCTCTAATTTTCCATTATGTCTGTTATGTTCATATTTTTGAAGCTTTTGGGCCAGTAGAGCTTATTCAATTACCTACAAATCCTGAAACAGGACATTGCGCAAAGGATTTGGGTTTGTTCAAGTTGGTTTTTGGTGAATTACAATATTTCTTTTCAGTATATATTGTCTGTCATAGTTTTTTTTCTTTTTGTAATGCCTCTATGTCTTGATTTGGGTTCATATTAGTTTGCTCAACTTGAACATGCAAAGGCATCTAAAAGTTTGAATTGCAAGCTTGAGATTGCGGGTCGCACCATCAAGGTATGTCTACAGGCTGAACTTGTTAATGATACATAATTTCTGTAGATCTTGCTTCTCTGAATACTGTTGGATGACAGTATTACTGAGCCTTGACTGGCTATTTTGGTTCAATGCAGATTTCATCCGTTGCTAAAGATGTTCAAGTACAAGATGCTGGAGCTAAAATTGCTGATTTTGATGACAATCAAGGAGGAGGCTTGGTGAGTTTGCTCCTAAATCATTATTTACAAAGGACCTTGCAAGCCATCTTTTCTTAAATAGGTTAGATACTTCGTAAGGTATGAGCATGATGGAGGTGGTAAAAGGTCCATCCATGTGTTTATGTTAGACATGACATGAGAAAAACAGTTACACCATTTGCTACATTGCTGCACTATGTTGTCCTTCTCTCTCTTTTTATCTCCTTATTTGATATTGAAATTCACCAACTTGTACTTCCTTCCAATCTCTCCATAATATAGGATCAAGCCAAATTTCCATTCACACAAACTTCTGACACCCAAACAGAGAAGCAGTTCTGTAGAAAATATAGCTAGTAAAAGATATAGGTATATTGTCCTAAACATTAAAAAACACAATTAACAAAGGCTAACAAGTTCCTCCAAACTTGGACAAACTAAAAGGATCATTTTCTATAAAATGCAAATTGAGTTTGAAACTTGTCTCGACCTATAAAGATCCACCTTACCCCTTTAATCCAAAACAAAGTTATCCGTGTGTCAGAGCAATCCCTAGCAGCTTCATTGGCTTCTTCAATGACATGGTGAACTGCACAAGTTATACATTTCAGCAAGTTGGAAATTTCCTTCAACCTCTGTATAGTTATTTCATTTGGCTTGGGGAGATCATTAACATATTGAACAAGCATAACATTATTCGACTCCACAATCAACTTTCTTGCATGTGGTTCTCATTTCTTACATTGGTTCGACCCATGCCTTTAGGCCTCAAGTTTAGCAATCAAATCATCTTGAACCTCAATATCACCCAGTAGCTACTTAAACACGATCCTTTTTCATCTCAGAAGACACCACTAAATTGTCCTGGCTGGTTCCCTTTGTGCTAATACCATAGATGCTTAGTTCAATCTTAACCTGGAAAAGGGGAATCAATTTCCATATGACATGACAAGGTATATAATATTAACCCAAAAGTTTCTTCAAACATCTTACCAGTCTGATAGCTTGGCATACCCGATAATAGTTTGGAAATGCTGGACAAAAGTTAAAAGTTACATTTCAGGGAGTTTACCCTCCTATTGTTCCTTCAGCTCAACAAACAAGTACTTTGGATAATTCAACCAACAAAATTATCCAACTAGCACTTAAATGAATCACATGAGTAAAACACATCTTATGACTTGGAAAAATAAATGAAAGAAACATAGACATAAAATAAAGGGTTAATGACTTCAATGATATGTTCATAGGGCAAAACTTTTGTTTCCCATAATTAATAGAATGATAATAGAAAATTACATTTGATAATAAATAGAAATTTTAGCATTTAGTCACACTCCTAAATAACTTTGGGTATGAGACCAATAATATCACGGTTTGCTAATATTTGTGTCAAAGTTGATATCCATGTCAAACAAATGTAAGTTAAATTCTAAGAACACATAATCATACATTGCATCTTCACTAGTTTTTATGTCAATCTCTATTGTGAATTTAAGAGTTCTCTGTAAACATACCATTGTTTCAAGATCATTCAGATCCTTGAGCGATAGATCATTAAAATTCTCCACAAATGAGTTTGTCAACAAGAGAATCCGGTTAAGACAAGACGCAGACTAGTTTGCTCCCAATAGATTGCAAATAAGATGATAGTAAGAAAGAGGCATGTAGAACGTTCTTGGTCTCTAAGCTGTCCTCTTATGATCTTCATCAATGGTGCTTAAGACCTAGTCTTCTGCAAACTGCTGTATCAATAGATGACATTACAGGATCATATATTTCTACATTGTCAATTATCTAGTGGTGTATGCTGGAATGCGAGGGGATCTCAAACAGGATGAGACCATCCAAAAAATAAATATCTATCGCACTTTAGGCTCCTATTCGCATGTTCAGGTGGTTAATCCATGGTTTGAGAAGCGTTGAATACACTTCCAATTCAGAACTTTAGCCTGCCACAGTTCTCCAACTAAAGCAAAATTTTTCCAGTTAGATTGGCAGTATAGAAATATACGGTCTTGTTATGTCGTCTCTTCTGTTGATATTGCAGTTTGAACTTTGAAGGAAACTAGGTCTTGAGGTTCTCACCATTGATGAAGATTGTAAGAGGAAAACACATCTTATGAGATGCAGGATTATGTGCTCAGAATTTTCCTAACATTTCTTTGACGTCGATATCAACTTTGACACAAACATTGGTAAGTTAGGATATTATTGGTTTGATATGCAAAGATATTTGGGGGTGTAATTAAATACTGAAATTTCCCGTTATTATCAAATGTAATTTTTTGTTTGATTCGAGGAAACCCTATGAACATATTGTTGAAGTCATTAGCTCTCTATTTTATGTTTGTGTATGCTTGTTTCATTCTTTCTCCGGGTCCTAAGATGTGCTTTAATTGTGTGATTGATTTAAGTGCTAGTTGGAGAATTTTTATTGGTTGAATTATTTTAAGTACTTATTTGCTGAGCTAAAGAAACTATAGGAGGGAAAGGTGTAATTTATTCCTAAGATATAACTTTATTGAAACTAAACTATTACCTGGTATTCCATACCAAGCGATCAGACTAGTAAGATGTTTGCAGAACTTTTGGGTCACTATCGTATTCCTTGTCATGCCAGATGGAAATTGGTTCATCTTTCTCTAAGTTGAGTAAACTAAACATCTATGGTATTAGCACAAAGGAGAACCAACCAGGACAATTAAGTGGTGTCTTCCGAGCTAACGATTGTGTTAAGTAGCTATATGGGTGATATTAATGTTCAAGACAATGCGACTGCTGAACTTGAGGCCTTGACGTATGAGTTGAACAGATGTAAAAAAGGAGAACCACACGCAGAAAAATTGATTGTGGAGTTGGATAATGTTATGCTTGTTCAATATGTTAATGGTTGCCCTGAGCCGAATGAAATAACTATGCTGAGATTGAAGGAAATTTCCAACTTGCTGAAATGAAATGTATAATTTCTGCAGTTTATCATGTCAGTGTAGAAGCCAATGAAGCTGTTAGAGACTATGTTTTGACAGATGAATTACTATGTTTTAGATTCAAGGGGTAAGCTGAATCTTTCTAGGTCAAACCAAGGTTTCAATGAATATGATCTTTTTATTTTGTCAAAATTTGAAGAGACTTATCAGCCTTTATATAATTGTGCTTTTTAATATTTAGGATAAATTACCTTCATCTTTTATTAACTATGTATTTAACAGAATTGTTTCTCTGTTTTGGGTGGTAGAAGTTTGTGTGATTCAGAATTTGGTAGGATTCTATATCTTGGAGAGATTAGAAGAAAGTATTAGTTGCTGAATTTCAATCACATAAAGCATATTTGCTCTTTGCTACTTTTTCTTAAATTATTGAAAAAAAACATATAACCTCTATTAACAAATTTTGTGCTCCGTTCCCTGTATCCTTTATTTCATACTAGCCCATTACAATAAAATCTCACTAAATTAAGATTATAAATATAGGTGGGATCATGAAATATAATTAATTTAAAGATTATATTTATTGAATTCGCATGAAAAAATAAATTATGGTGCATTTCGAAACACATATATCATATCTTAAATTTTACATGTTCGGAGATCCAGAGCTTAAAAGAAATTGTGGGTATTATCGGAAAAACAATGTTGATGATAAAGTTGAAGATGATACAATATCTTTGGGATCAGTTACATGTAAAGAAACACTTATCACATCTAAATTTTTTTCACAATTCTATGTTGCTGTTTGAAAAAACAACATAGGAACTTTTGGATGCAATAAGAAAAGTTACATATGCGCTTCAACTAAGTATAAATTTTAACATAACACAATAGAATCATATTTCATTAAATTGTCTTAGATATATTTGTAATTTTAAAGAATTACTCACTCCGTCCCATTTTACGTGAGGTAGTTTGACTCGACACGAAATTTAAGAGAGAAAGGAAGACTTTTAAAACTTGTGGTTCAGAATGAGTGATGAAAATTTGTGCAACTGTAAATCATTTCATTAAAGGTAAAATAGACATTTTATAATTAAATTGTTACTTAATATAGAAAATTAGAAATGTGTCTTCTTTTTGGACTAACTAAAAAAAAGTAAGTCACATAAATTGGGATAGAGGGAGTATTATTTTGTTATACTAATGAGACAATATATTTATATATGGATCTTTTGAAAATATATTATCTTATCGAAATAGGTACTTTATTCATTGAATTAAGTTGGCACCGGAGGAAAATATTATCTTAGAGAGATTATTAATATTCCGAGTATTAATTTAGTGAGGTTATACTGGATATAGTCCACCTTCAAACTCTTCTTTTCTATAGCTTCTATGAAATGGTTAATGAGTTTATTATTAGAAGCTTCTGTCCATTCTTTTTCTAGTGCTCGAATTAGAACTAATTAATATAATTACTTTATATAAAGATTTAAATTGGAGAAGACAAAAAGAACAATTTTTTGTAGAGTTTTTGTTATGAGGAGTAGAAAAGACTCACTTTAATATAAAATGTCAATAATAGTAAAAAAAGAAGCACAACCCTCATGTGTTTATTTCTTGCTTTTAAGAAAAATAGATGTGCAACAATATTTGTCTACTTTGTAAGAACAATGGATAATGTAACATCTTGTGTCTTACTTAAATCTAAAGGATGCACATGACACCATTTTAGTCTTCTTTCTGTCCTTGTTTGGAATCTCTCTCTCTCTCTGTATATATAATTACTACTACTATTATAGAAAAGGCTTGTTTCAACATGTGTGGTTAATGTCTTTTATTTCAAATCTGAGGGTATTTATGTCTTTTCACATAGCTTAGTGTTTCTGTGAAGGTGTCTTGAATGGACACATCATTGTTTACGTGTCCCTTCATCTTCACTTATTCCATTGTTGTTGTTCTCAAAAAGTTTTTGTATTGTTCTTGGCTTATAATTAATTGTTGTTCTCAAAAAGTTTCTGTATGAGCACAATGTTTTTTTTGGTCAAGTTTCCCCACTAAACAACAAGTTTTTCTTTATTGATTTAAAAATTTGAGTTTTGGGGGTCATTTTCTTTGAAATTTGTGTTATTATGCTTCCAAAGATTGAATTTTTTCTGTAGTGAAAAACAGAGATGAGTGAAAACCCATGGCCAAAATTCTTTAACTCGATACAAAATCAGCAAAAAACTTGAAAAGAAAAATCAATAAATTCACTGAGATGGTAAGTAAAATAGAAAAGCAAGGAATGCACTGCATCAAGGGGAAAAACAAAGGTAAGATGCATCTAATTTTTGGGAAAATTATTCTACAGCAGGAGGGACCTGGAAAAGCTTACTTCAAGATACAAAGTTTTACAGCCGCAAGAACCAGAAAATAACAGCAAGTATTCCTCATTTCCAGACTGTTTCTGTCCCTCCATCTTGATTAGTTGTCCAAGGATATCTACCAACACGGGATGATATTTAATTTATCTTATCCTGATCCATCTAGCTAACAACCCCTTAGATCTAATGGTAGCTTTGACTGTTCAGTAACCTTGAAGTTGTTTCAGGGTTTTCCTGTGTGTGATTCTGATCCTTCTTTTGATAAGAAGACCTCAAAGTTACTGAAATGTAAAAGAACAATACCTCTTTGATTTACCTCGGCACTTCTTGTAAACTACATTCTTCTGCGTGCTACAGTGGCTTCTAGAACTATCAAGTTAATTATGATTTTGGATCATAGTATCATACTATATCATCTACTTGCCTAGCTTTGAAGCCTATTGAGCCATTGTTAACACTTTTTGGGTTCTTGTTTTTTGTTCTTGGCTTATACTTATTTATCTTCTTGTTAGATTATACAACTGTGGATACTACTGGTTCTCACTTGCGTGGGCATTCTTTTTTTGTTATCTGGTTCGGTCTTAATGATTCTTCATTAGTACTAAAAAATAGTAGTAGTAGAAGCAGAAATGATGATAAAGTGGGGTTTTTTGAAAATGATTGTGATATATTTGATGGGAATTGGGTGTGGGATGAGAGTTATCCACTTTATCTATCAGAAGATTGTATGTTTTTGGATGAAGGTTTTTGTTGTTCTGAGAATGGTAGACCTGATAATTTCTATACCAAATGGCGTTGGCAGCCTAAGGATTGCAACTTGCCCAGGTTTGTGTTTCAATCGACTGAATACTTGACATCTTCATATGCGAAAATATAATGAATATGTAAAAAAAATATCACCAATCTTAATGGTGGCTTACAGATGTTTTTACTTGATAGTTGAGCATTACAAGTGTTATATTTCTCTTGTTATAATCTGTGAATATTTATGTAATTGACCTCAATTTAATTAGTATTAGTTGTGGCATGATTTTTTCTTGGCCGTTATTGGGTTGGAATGTAGGGAACTCAAAAATAGGGTAATTAAAAAGAATGGTATTTTCCATGTATAAGAGACAAGAATGCTCCCAACAGGGCTGAGGACAAATTGGACAACTGCTGCAGGTTATTACAAAGCTACTGGAAAAGATAGAGAGATTTATTAGATTAAAACTTTGATTGATGTGAAGGGAACTCTGACTTGCTATAAGAAGGCATGTATAGTTAAATATTCCACTTTGAATCTGAACTAATTTTCCATCATCTGCAGATACTTTTTTTCAAATATTGTAATGTAGGCAAGATACAACACTATATAGTGCAACATGTGAACGAAATATGTGTGTCTCGCTATGTATACAAGCATTTAGCTTGCAAATATCTTTCAATGTTGGGCCCGTGCTTGCACGGGCCAGGTCTACCTAGTATATATATATATATATTTTCTCAATCCCTATGTTAATTTTTTCTTTTCTTGCATCACCATATATTTTTTATTTTCTTTTATATATTTTGTCCGGACCAAATTATACTTATTAAGATGTGCCATTATTGAAATATTTTGAAGTTGTGACACTAAGAATTTGATATTTGGGTGATAATGGTTTTATACCAAGCCAGTACTAGGAAGCATGTATCCACCACTCTGTTATGACATGAAAATGAAATAAGAAAAGTTCCATGTCCTTCTGGGGAACAACAATTGTACTGGATCTGCAATAACAATGAGATTTTTTGTGTAATTATCTCTTGTTTTCTTCATTTATGTTGTAACAAATTATAGTGCATCTATCTAACCCTTGTTTTCCTCCTAGCTTTCTAGTAGGAATCCTTGTGGCCTTATGTATACTACTTAATGGGGTATCTAACATAGTTGAAGGGTGGATTGTTCATTCAGCAAGGCCCTGGAAATTTTCTCTGTTATAAAAGAATTTTATTTGTAGAAATAAAGGTAATGGTCACTACTCACTAGAGACATAGGAAAAAAGAACAAAGCGTAGAGTAGAATTTAAGATTCGGACAAACTCTATTAGAGAAGTTCCGATTTGCCTTCAAAGACAAATTGTCTACCATTGGAATGAAATGAACGTCAATAAAGTGTAAAGTCTAAGAGGCTGTAGTGTATCTTAGACTTTTTTCTTTCCTGATTAATGGTTGAATGTAATGAAATCTAGCTTTCAAGACATGCAAGTTCATATCCTTGCTTTGTATTTAAAATTTCTCTTTCCACTTTTAAATTACTTTTCCGACTTCTTTTGCCAATGCATTAAAATTAAGGATATAAAGTTAAAGTAGAGGTCTTTTCGTCTATAAGCTGAAAATTAGTGTTAGTAGCAGAAGGGAGAAACATATTTGGAGTATGATTGAGGTGGACATAAAAGTATTTTAGATTGATGGAGGTTTGGGTTATAATCTTATCCTAGGCAAAAATAAGAATATGAGAGAAAGGTAAAGCTAGACATACTATTGTGGATGTTATATTGTTCAGTAGGAATTTTTTGGTCCTTCTTGTATTGTCTGTCCAAGTGGCTATAAATATATTTATTATTTACTTATTAAGGAGAAAACATGGAGAAAATGATCATCAAGTATTGGGGCTGCTTTATTTGACAGTTTATCCTTTTGAGGCTCGACAGTTATAGTCCGTAATGTAAGTGAAAAGGTGACAAGACTACGTGCGGCACTTGACGGTTTACTCACGATTCTTGCACGATCTCGTAAACTCAAGTAAGCCTCTCACTGTTTGGATCGCTAAGAGAAATAAGAAGAAAGACAAAGGACAGAATTTTGGAAGAGAGGACTGTATCTTATTAGTCAATTGATGGATGATTTACAAATACAATGACCCTCCTATTTATACTACTCTAATGACTAAGAGTAAATAAATGCTGCTATACAAGTCCCTAAGTACATGCACTCAAGACATGTCTACATTCCTAGAATGTCTCTAACTCTTCCAAAAGGACTCCTAGATTTCTCTTAGTCTGCCCCAAGATTCTAGAAAGGCTTGAACAAGCCCCTCCAAGGCTCAAGGCTGCCTGCTTTCCGTCTGCTGCACACTTGGACCGCCTGCCCCTTCGTACGCTGGACTTTTGGGCCGCCTGTCCCCTTTCGCATGCTGCAATCTGCCTGGATAGGTGGCGATCCGCTTGGATAGGTGACGGGACGTCACAATCTCCATGTATTTGGTCAAAAACTCTAAATGTAGCAGAACTTTTTTTAGAAAAAAGAGTGTTAAGGTTGAATATTTTGTCCATGGCCTCACGTGCCAACAGTGAAGTCAGTTTATGGTTGCAAGAAGAGATGGACAGAGCAACAACAACAATGGCCTTTGAGACAGGCATCAAAATAGATACTTTTCGATGAGTATTTCTGGCCTACTGAATTAAAGTGACATTTCAAATCTGAAAGTTTTCGATGATGTTTCCATTATAGATGGTCTTTGGGAAGGTAAGAGGGATGAGATGAGACGAATAGGAGGTTCCTGATGGGAAATTTTCTGGTGTTACCTTTTCATATACAGTAGGGACTATATTTGTCAAGGAGATACATCAAGAACCATTTTGATCATTTTTTCGATAATAAGCTATGGCTGCCTATGTCGTGCGGGTCTTTTGAGAGAGAAGGTATTAAGCTTTGGTTTTGGTACCACGCGTTCTTAGGTTAGCTTATGAAAAATGGAGAACTCTTGAAGTGCAGGATTAGAAAGCTGAAGAGCAATGAAGGTTAAAAAGAAGGCTAAGCATAACATTTACGTAGATAATACTTTGTTGGTTAGATAATACAGCCTTCTGTCCCTTGTCTTGACTTACACACACTTGGTGTTGTCTATAATAGAGATTAAGACAAAGAGGTGTGAACGAATTATCGTATATGATGTTCTTGGAGTTCTATTAAAATAATTGGTATTGTGAAGAGTATGAAAATGTGATTTGAGTTGATTATTGCACTCAAGTCATGAGAATGAGTTTTTTTTCTTCTTCTCTCGTTTGAGAAAGGTAATGTTAAAATGGACGCTCTCACTTTTACCAATTTGATCCCTACAAAAAATGAAGAAGAGAGTTCTAATATTGAGTTCTAATATTGTAATTTAAAGATTAGACGATTGTAAAGAACTCAATATATACATATCTGGAGCTGGGTTGACAGGTTCAGAGTTCTGAATGATCAGATTGAGCAACCAGTAAACTCAGATGGGGGCTAGGAAATAGTCTAATTAATGGAAGGATAAGATGAAAGAAATCATATTTGGACAAAATGGTGTTTATGTAATGTGACTTGAAAACCTTAAGTTAATATCATTCCAATATAAATATTTGATGAGATTGCTATATTTATGTTTTTTTGGCATCTGTACAGATAATATTATTTCCATGTTTTTATACATTACATCAACTGCCTTCTATATGATTACTTCTTTTATGGTTTCTTCCTCTTTTATGGTTTAGAACTGTATAATTACATTTATTGATTCATGCTTCCAAGTCCTCGTTTAGGTTATCCACTATGAGACGACTTGGTGACATTTTTGTTTCCAGTCTCATTCTCTCCTCTTGCTTTGTGTTGTGTCATTATTTTCTAGAATCCAGACAGGGAAAGATGATAAAGCTTGGGCTTCAGGTGACACTTCAAGAAAGCCTCTAAGAACAGGTTAGATCTAACACATCAAGTTGTCTTTCTCTGCAGGTTTGCTCGACTTTTCATAGTTGTGTGAAAGCAATGAGGTTCCTTCAGTGGCAATGATATTGTTTCCAGTTAGCACACCACCTTTATTTCAAGCAGGAAAGTTATAAGAGAAAAATCTGCATCTACTTTAGTGTCTAAACTTTCTGCAACATCTAAAAAGCTTCTTTGAAACAGGGTGGGGGTGGGGGTGGTGGGGTTTACTTCAAATGTGAGGTTATGCTTCTAGAAAACATCTAAAAAGTGAATATTCATCAACAGTAACATAATTTGATTGAGTTAAATGCTTTGTGAATCAGTTTCTTGTCAGTTTGAAACTTAGGCTTAATCACTACTATAAGAGCTGGTTGTGTCAAATTTTTTGGACTCATCTTTTCTCCCTATTGGATCACTCACGAATGGTTTCTTACAGCATTTTTATCTTTGTTGTGATATTGTTAGATAACTTGTACCGATGACTATTAAAATAATATAACCATGTATATGACTTGTTTTTCCTTGTTAACGTCTGTCTATGCAGTTGGGATAAAAAATTAGGAGTTTCTCTGTTAGCGTCACGAGTTGTTTTTCCCTCTCTTGGTATTATTTTCAATTTCTTCTGATCCAAGGGTTTACTTCAAAGTGGATGCTTGTATCCAAGCAGTTTGCAACTGACGTTTGAGTCTCTCTTTTGGTCTTAGGATACTGAAGAATTACTAGTATGATGTGTGTACAAATATTTGAAGTTTGTGCCAGCTCCTGAGAACTGATTTGGAAAGGTGGAAATGTCACTTGACATATATAACACTCCATCTTTGTGCCTTAACTCATTTTATCCCTTTGATGTTTACATTTATAAACAAGGACTTGAAAGAAGGTGCCATTTTCATAGATCGAATATTCAATAATTCTAGTTTCCTGAAATAGGTGTCATTTTTTCACTCTTATCTCAAATGGATGTATCTAACCTCTTATAGAATGGTGTACTTTTGAGGATAAATGACAAAGACAGAAATATTACAAGGGCAATATTGTAATGAGACGTTCATATAACTACAAACCAAGTGAGTTCGAAGAAAAAGATTCCCTTGTGATAAAATTTTGCGCTCTCCCCCTTCAGAAATTATTGTACATAATGCCATTAAATTAGGCTCCGTTGGAAAGAGGACAAACAACACTTCAAATATATATTTGAAATCTCACGAAATGTCAATGGTATGTAGTATTTTTAATTGTAAATATTTGTTTAAGGAAATGTAAAAGTTTTTCTCTAATGTAAACTTTGATGTAAATTTACGTGGGAGGTCATTTTTTTCCTTCCAAAATCCATATTATTGTATTTATTCATAAGGGTTGGATTATTGGAGGAAGACAAACTAATGAACTAATACAATTAGCACCTCTTATGGGACCCGATTCAATAGTTATTTTCAACATTTCCTTCTGACACATAAAAAAGTGGTCAAGTTTTACCCAGGTAAAAAGATTATATATTTCTTTGAATTCTCTTGCATCAATGCATACAAGATAATTAGGCCTTACGATCGACATACTACGTAAGCACTTCATTATACACATGTTAGAAATATATAGTCTCTTGTCATTTTCATTAGGATAATCAAGTACATCATTAGGTCTTAGAATTATGCCTAGTGCACAATATCATTTGAACCACATTAATATATCACACTTAGATCTTACATATCATAATTCATATGTTCATAACTATGACTTGAAGTCACAGTCGGTACTAACAAACACAAAGTGAATAAGAGCCACAATGATCTTCCTCTTCTCATGAGTTCCTCAACTTGTAGCCAACTCATTTAGTCAGACCGAGTCTTTCCCGGTTATTTAGTAGCATGCTAAAATAACGGACATCAAAACAAGCTTTGACTCATTGATTAGAGTTGTGAGGGTTATAAAATATGTTTCAAACAAGGGTGGGGTGTTGTGCCACTCATTGCTCCCCAAATCACCGAAGGGCTGGCGGACCGCACCACTCAGTGCGCCAGGGTTGCCAGGTCTCTACCCTTCCGTCCTTTTTGTATGCATTCCCTGGATTCCTACATGTGTTCTCTACTTGTCATTCACATTTAAAAAATCTTCATTAATCCTTGAGAGATCATGCATATCCAAGTCGTAACTCTTGAATTCATAAATCAAAATTCAAGATAGAGTTAAGAGTAAAGTTCGAGGGAGTTCTTTCGAGTCATTTTGAGAAGTTTTTTTTATAAATTTTAAAACTTGTTTTTAAGACTTGAGTATAAGGATGAAGAGAGTTGTGTTTCATTTTTCAAAATAAATATATGAGAACTAATTAAGTAATCCCAAAAGTAAAGAATAAATGTTTTTACATTTAAAATGAGAGGAAACATAGATTCCAAATGAGTTCATGAGGAGTTTTGAGCACCATCTCTTTTAAGAAAACCTTTTGAGTAATAACCTCAAATTTTGAAAATGAGGAAATTTTTTTAAACGTATGAGCATGAGTTATGTTATTGGAAGTAGTATTGAGCACCGATATGAGGACGAGTTTAGAAAAATCAAAGTCCTCATAAATCATGTACGTCGACATGGGTAGAAAGGGTAATACTTTTAGATGATTCGTTATTGCTTTTAAGCATAACTTAGTAGATCCACTTAATTGAGGATGTCTTATACTCCGGCAAGGTATAAGATAGTTCTAACAGCATGAGCGTGACGTATAGTGATGGTTGACAGTTAGAGAATTTTTCAAATAAGAGTAAAGAGTTTTATTGTATTTTTAAATACATCGAGTTACTATTTACTGTTTTAAGAGCTTTCTTTATAATGCATCTTATTGTTGCTTTTATGTTGAACCGAGTTGAGTATTCTGAGTTCTAGATCTTTGAGTCTCTTAGGTATACTTGAGTCTAGTTGAGGTGAGGTGAGCATGGGTTCCTTTTATTAGTTCAAGCTTGCAAATTATGTTGAGTTTTCCCCTTATATGCTCGCATATTTCATGTATTGACTCCATTTGATCTGCATTTTTGATGATGCAGATACCGGTAACCAGAGTCATCAACAGAGATTCGTTGAACCACTTGCAGTTTGAGTTAGTTTTGGTTAGCCTTCTTGTTTTTGGAGAATTTTATTTACCTTTCAGTTTTGTTAGGATGTCATGGGTCTTGTCTCGACTTCAGTCATTTAGAGACTTTATAGATAGATAGTAGTAGTTGAGGAGTCTTTTGCTTTCTCTTGTTAAATGTCTTAAAGACTTGAGTTGCTTATTTCTGTCTAGTTGAATATTCTATTATATTTCTGAGTTGTTTATTTGAGACTTATGAGTTAAAGCTTTACATTTAAGTTCATTTTATGTTGAGTAAGTCTTCTACTGAGAGTTGAGCCAGACCAAGGGTTCACTTGGTTCAGCAATGGTTCTTGAGTGTCGGTCACGCCTAGGGTGTAGGCTCAATTGGTGAAAAAGACGCGTTGTACTCTTTTTCTTAACCATGATTTTAACCCAATTGAATTTTCATGATAAGATTTTTAACGAGACAACATTCAAAGCTTATTAAAAGATGTGTACTATTTTTTTCACTAGGATTTTTTCCACAAAGTTTTTTCCTAGTAAGGTTTTAACGAGACATATTATCTCATTACATCCAAGGGAGAGTATTATAAAATAATAAATTATCACTACACCATTTTAGGCCAACGATCACCCTAGTAAAGTGTAGCCTAAACTAGCAAAAAGTGTGACCTTTGATAAAAGGGCTACACTTTTGGACTTTAGGTAACACTTTTTCAGGCGTGCCCAAATGAAGCGCTACCTTAGAGTTTAGGCAACACAACTGTTGTCTTATCAGCTACACTTAAAAGCGTAGCCTAAAAGGAAAAATGGTCACACTTTTATGTACCTCAAATAGCAACATTTATATCTCGTACAACTACACTTTTAAGTGTGGCCTTAGCTTCCTTATTGCCCACAATTCGTAAGTGTTCCCTTTTCTATATAATGTATGACAACAATTTTTAAGTGTTGCCTTTTCTATCTAATGTATGACAACACTTTGAAGTGTAGTCCTTGCCCATGTGATTACCACAATTTACAGTCCTAAGGCTACACTTTTAAGTGTGGTCATATCATTTTGGCTATAAAATATATGCCACACAATTTCTAATTAAAAACACCAATATTATTTTGTAATAAATAATCTCAAGCATTAAATTGGCTCATAAGAAATTCAAATATATAGATATGCAATAAGCTTCAAAAGATAGTACGTCTTGTGTACTTACACATACTTATACAACAATATTATAAATATGTGTACACAATTGTTCAAAAATTACTCTTACAATAGTTCAATATATTCTAGCAAAGAATATATTTCACAAATCAAACATAATGTATTTAAACTTTTATAATAGTTCAAAAAATCTTCATAATCCACTTCAATGAGATCAAATTTACTTGTAGGGACCCTTCAAATTTGATCACCTCCATTTCCCTACACAATTAGAATTTACGACAAATCAGATTGCAACAATTATTGAAGAGGCAAAGAGTTTCACATTCCATATTGCACAACAGTTCTGCATTATAAGTTACAACTTACAAAAACATTTTTGAATTTTATATTATTTCCTTCCAAAAAATAGCTTTGGAAGGGACACTAAATGAGTCATCTTCTTGTTGAGTTAAAATGAAAAAGACATCAAAAGTAGATGTTCAGCTATATGAATCATAGATGTTAAAGACAAGCATGTAACATAATAAAATAACTATACATCAATTCAAAACTAGTTGCTTTAGCTATATGAATCCTCAATATTCATTTTCATTTCAGAACCTGATTGATTTCCAAATTCCAGGTTCTCAAATTTAAGATTTCAGATTTTTAGATTTCCAGATTCCAGATTTTAGATTTCCAAATTCCAGATTTTTAATTTCCAGATTTCAGATTTCCAAATTCCAGATTTTTAATTTCCAAATTTTCAAATTTCAACTTTTCCAGATTTCCAGATTTCAACTTTTCCGGATTTCCAGATTCCAACTTCATCGGGGGTATTTTGCAGCTTATGTTAGGAGACATTTCTCAAGTTTTTTGGGGATTCATTTCCAGCAGTCATCTTCAAGGAATCATCTACTGTATTGGGGTGACATCCAAGGCAACAATGTAGTCCAAAAAATCGTTATTCACACACTTTATATTATCATTTGCTGGAATTTATGGAAAAAATAAATATTCGGCTAAGTATGGGAATAAGAGGGTCAGCAGTACCATAGTGAAGTATTTGATCGTTAAAGATATTTATCACATGCTAAACACTGCATTTCCATAGATATAGTGGCCTATGCAGTGGACATAAATAGGAAGAGGAAGTTATATAGTGGAGAAATAGGGACAACCAAGTTTTAGAATAAACAACAAGTTCCAGAGAGGTCTCAGGTTAATACTACAAGTCATGGTCAGAAATATTCCCTGCATTTACAAGATTTTACCTCAACTTAAATGTGGCTGAACCATCTTTGCCTACTACTCCTATAGAAGGGCAAGGACTAGGACTACTAACTATCAAATCCAAGGTATCAACAACCTGTTTCGAAAAGCTATCACCATATCCTATAAAACAAGTGGTGGTGTTGAAAATGCAAAACCTTGAACTGCTGGTAGAACAGAAGAATTGACAGAGAGCAAGAGTGAGATCGGATCGCTTCAGATAGATGAAACATTCTGACTAGATATTCCCAAAACAATCAAATTGACTAAATGTTATGGTGTAGAAAGGAGTTCGTGACAATGCAGTGAACCAACTAGAGAAAGCAGTAAACTCCGAACTTGAAGCTACTGTAGCTAGACAAAGCCAAGCACAATTTCTAACCTCTAGCAAGCAAACTCTACAGGAAACACTGAAATCTACTTTGGAAGTCTTAGTGATCCCTGCCTTCGAGATGTCATGCAAGGCGATGTTTGAGCAAGTAAATTCAACATTTCAGAAAGACATTGCTGACCACACGATTGTTGCACAACAACAATTTGATTCCGTACATTCACCTTTGACAATTGCTTTGAGAGATGTCATCAATTCAACATCGGCAATGACACATACATTGAGCAGAGAACTTGCTGATAGTCAAAGACAGTTGCTTGCTCTTGTAGTTTCTAGAGCAAATTCCCAATCAACAAATCCACTCAACCACATGAGTAATGGATCATTGCTACATGAAAAGATTGAGACACCTACAGATCCAACCAAAGAGATATCTAGACAGTTAGGGGAGCACAAGTATGAGGAAGTATTCACTGTAGCATTACAAATGAGTGATGTGTCAATTGTGTCATGATTATGCTCT